TGTCAAAAATCCCACGAGGAAACCAGCTCATTTCCATTTCTATGGATTTAAAAAACAGATGCTTACAACGAGAGCGGCGGAAAATATCATCCTTCAGGCATTTCGAGGAAGTCATGTGAGAGTTTATCTAATTTCGTAGTTTGCTATATCACGTGAGCCGCTTGAAAGAGTGGAAACGGCCTTGTGAGTCATTCGTTTACAAGCCAGTAATTTTCCTACAGCATGAGATACAGTAGGGCTGGCGTTACTGAGCTGCCTGCGGATCCGCCGCGGCGTTACCATTGGTTAAAGGGGTCATATGATGTTGCTAAAAAGAACATTATGTTGTGTATTTGGTGTAATGAAATGTATTTATGCGGTTTAAGGTTTAAAAAAACACATTATTTTCCACATACTGTACATTATTGTTTCTCCTCTATGCCCTGCCTTTCTGAAACGCGTCGATTTTTACAAAGCTCATCGGTCTGAAAAGCGAGGTGTGCTGTGATTGGCCAGCTATCCAGTGCGTTGTGATTGGCCGAATACCTTAAGTGTGTGACGGAAATGTTACGCCCCTCACCATACTGTGATGCCGTGTCTCCCGACACTAGAAGACAAAACCGATAAAACCCATCACAAACAAGGCATTTGTTGCATCCAGTGGAGACATAATTACTGATTATATTGACTTATACTGTGTTTTTACGCGTTGCGTTGCATATCACGCTGTGTAAACATGAAACCATGTCTGCATTTGTGATCGGATAAACGACAAACAACAAGCGCTACTCTACACTGCTCAAAACACACGTTTGAATCATCAGTGGCAAATTCTTTAAATATAAAAAACTTACTTGCATGCTGTGAGTCAGAAACGCCAGACTGTCCTAGCAAAGTTGGAACTGCCCCACTTTATAGAACAGTCTTCGTGCACAGACGCATTGTAGGTTACTCTGCAGGTTCAGGAAACAGTCCTCCATAAAATGCGTCACACAGCGTAACACACTGCGGGGCTTGAGTGAGCGGAAGCCGGTGGGCTTGCGGCAACCACATGTGACGACCCCGGGCTGGACTTCGCTTCGTCCACGGTGAAAGCCGATCCGGCGATCCACAGCACGAAGTTGATGTGTTTCCTCAGCGACCAGCACAGATCAGCTCCAGGCATGACGAAGTGGATATCGTCCTCTTTTGGAAGACCAAACAAAGTAGTTTCGCTTTCACAACGAAACACACAGCGCCTTCACGACATGGTGGCGGCAACAACAATACTACAGCGAGAATAAAAGTTACGCCTTCTTTCTTTGCGTAAACATTTGGGTGGCGTTATGCAAATCTTCCCACATCGTGACGTAGACATATGAGGGTGTGTTTAAACATGGTGTTTTAGGAGGGCGTGGACAAGTCTTAACTTTTATAACGAATATCTCTTTGGATTTGAGACTTTAGTCTTTGCAACTTTACAGATCTTCTTTATGCACCAAGAGCTTGTAACACTTCAAAGAGAAAGGAAAAATTGAAATCGCATCATACGACCCCTTTAAGGCTAGAAGGGACACAGCTGCGGCTACTGGGCATGCGCACATCAATATAGCGTAATTTTTGTAATTACTATTTTTTAATTATTGTAAGGGGTACGTTTAGGGTTGGGGTAGGTGTAGACGTTAATAAAACACAATCTAGTAGGTAGAAAATTAATTTCATCGTTCGTTTCCGGTCGGAGCTATAGGTGCATTCACGCCATATCGGAATTCCTGTAATTACAAGATTCCAAATTGTAAAAAGCGTTCACATCCTTGTAGAACTCGTAATTACAACTTGTGAACTGGGAGTTTTCTGAGAGCTAGGACTTGTACCACGTGCCCGTCGTACCACCTGACCACCGCAGGCTCTGTTTAGGCGTGTTGCCATAGAAAAGCATAATTCTGAGTCCGAGGACGTGAACAGTTCTGAGTAGAACATCACGTGCTGTCATCTCTAAATTACGGTAATTATGACATGGCGTGAACGCAGCATGTATCCCTTCTAGCCACAACCGTATCGAGAAAACATAACGGTCAACATGGATCACGTGTGCCACGTAAACCAATCACATTACAGCCTTGACAGTCAATCGCTGTTTGCGGATACCTTAGAAATGAGTAGTGCTGTAATTATATCCACACTTCGTAAACTCCATATATAGTTAATTCCAAAATGAATATTTTGAATGAAAAACACGTTGAAGATTAGCGGGCAATAAGCCGTTTCCTCACAATAGTTTATTCGGCGTAACTACTGAAGCATCTCCTCCTTGGACATGGTAAGCAAAAAAGCGAAACCACTGCTCAGAAAACGATACGGTAGACAGTGTTACTGCACAAGTTTGTTAGGTAAAACTGGTTTACAGAATAAAGATGGACAGGTCCTCTTAGATCTGCAAACAGTCGTAAAATGTAACACGTGACTAGTATGCAGAGAACTGATAGAAAATTATCAGGAACACAAAGTTTATTGAGGATGGAAATGCAGGAAAATATGTTTTGATGTGTTCGAGTATCTTGCAGTTCGATGGAACATTGTTTTGTTGTGCTTGAAATGTTTTATAGACCTATGGTTATTATATTATACCTATATTGACATTGTATGAAATCATTGTTGATTTGGTGAATCGCTGTTCTTAATCGCTCCTCCCCAACCAAACCGGAGAAACACAGCGTTTCTTTCTTTCACAGTTTATTCGAGACATGACTGACAGTTGTATGAAAACAGTAATAATAATAATATATTTTTTCAAATATAAAAATGTATCTGGCATCTTTGTCAAAAATATACAGAATATACAAATAACTGAAAGTAAGTGCATAAGTGCTTTCTTCTTGAAATATTATAATAAATTATGAAATAAAGCTTATAAATATATGTAACTATATATTATGGATGTGACCATGTCCATTATAATGAAGAATTATATATATGTTTATGTTCTCCCAAAAACAGCTGAGTCTCTGATCGCTCTCAGGAGCATCCTGTAAAGTTCCACTTCATCTTTTACAACCCTGGGCAGGAACAATCCCATCATGCATGTGTTGGCATATGGTAGACGGCATCCACGCTGCTCTGGCTGGTAGAAGTGAATGCTGGGCTTCTGGGAGAACCCAAGTGGTGGGACTTCAGCCGCTCCAGTTATGAAAGCCAAAATTTCCTCAAAATGCAACTTGTTTTCTGGAGCTTTTGGTTTTTTATCTGTTGAGGGAAAATGACAAGCTTAAGTCCAAACGAACTGCCAATTGTAAGCACAATTATTTACAATTCATTTCACAGTTCATTTACTAACTACCTCACCTTCAATCATCTTAAGCACCAGTTCCCAGTAGTGTATAGTGTCCTCCTCAGCCTCCCTCTTCTTGGTCCCTGATTTACTCCAGTGGATTTGGAATAAGTCTCTGAACGTGCTTCTGGAAAGTGGCTCATGCATGTTGGTAAAGATGGGTAGAAACTCAACCCAGTGAGTTCTTACCATATCCCAGAACTGTCCATAAGCATTCAGTCCCTTTGTGAACTGATGAATCATATTTGATGTTCTGTAAAAATAACACAGGTTGTTAAATGTCCATTCTTGTACTTAAGCAACACAACAGATTACTAAATAGGCCTATTAGCTCAACCAATGAGATCATCTAGAGGACAATAACTAACTGTCAAATGATTGTTACTTTGATAAAAACATAGTAATTTTTATCATTGAAATAAGTGTTAATCAAATCAATAAGAAAAAATTCAGTTATATAC